ACTACTACTACTACTTCCACCACTACCACTAGCACTACGTCAGCATGCTCACACCAGTGGTGCCAGGTACTGGTGCTAGTTCTCGTATTGCAGTACCAGTACTAGTACTAGTGCTGCTGCTCACTACGAGTGTCAGTCTCATCTGCCATGTCAGAGGTTGTCGTTCCGAGTTTTTGCAGAGTTGAGCCGCAGAGTTGAGCCGCCCAGACGTGAGGAAGTGCGGGAGAGTTTGGAAACACCCATTACCCGTCAGAGGGTCGCTGGACTTCAGATATGCATGTTTGGATTTCGGCCGGCTTTGTCGCTCAGGGCCGGGCTCAAGGCCATGTTGGCCCTGCCAGAGGCCTTTGAGATCATCCAGCGCATCGTGTCTCCCGAAGCGCAGAGCTATTTCCAGCGGATCGTGCGGGCATCCTGGCACAATAGAATGGCACAGACGGTAAGATGGTGCCCTAAGCCCAACTCCTCGTTAACGCAGTCCGGAGGTTAAGTTACCAGAAGGGGGGGGGCCCATGTTCAACGCAGGCAGGGAGCACCCTCGATTCTCGATAGTTCACACGAACGCCACGATCCCCAAGGCCTAAAGCCTAAATCTGTGGCGAACCGAGCACAGTTATTGAATGTTGAGCTGCTCTGTCTTTCATGTTTGATTCAATGCTCAGCTACTCAGTCTTTCATGCTCGCATAGGATCTTCGTTGTCGGGACTCAATAGCTGGGCAAACTTAGCACGACAAGCTGGAGGTGAAGTGGAGTAGCAGCAGCGTCTCGTAGTGGCGGTTCGGAGACCATAACTTTGTCAGTTATTGAACCTTCTAAGTCTTGGTTGCTCATGAGCTTGGTTTATGCTCTAAGCCGTCGCCTTGCGTGAAGGGACTATGTGGAGCCTTGCCTGCTTTACGAGAGTCAGAGTCGAAATCTCTGTCTCCCTCTCGCGGGAATTTGTAGTGACCTAGTAGCTGTCATCATCGTTGGAGATGCAAGAGCCTTCCGCTTTGCCGGTTTCAGAGGGAGTTCAGAGCAGTCTGCATTACATGTTGTAGTTGCTCCTCGCTTGGCCCTAATGACTGTTTTTTAGGGGCTTAAACAATTACCTGTACTGTTTTGGTGGGTTCCTTATTATAACTATTTAGTATAACATACCCCAAAACCCTGGTCTAACTATTAAGGCCCCCACATTAAACCACCCCCAACCGGAGAGGTGACACAAAGCGAGCTTGAGAAGCTTCTGGTCCACAGGGTCACGCAACTTGGCTTAGACATATCGAAGGCGACAGGGCGCCAAGGGTTTTAGGGTTTAGGGCAAAAGGGTTTTTAGGGTTTTTAGGGTTTCTAGGGTTTTATTGGGGTTTTAGGGTTCAGGGTTTGAGGTTTAGGGTTTAGGGAGCCGTGAACTCTAAAAGCCCAAGCCGAAAACCGTTGCGACCCTGCACCCGAAACCCCGAACCGCACATCGGCGTTCGAGAGATTTGTTCTTCTGGACATCCATTAAGGAAGTCTCTGACAGGCACAGTTTGTTCAATTGGCGACAGCTCAGGTGATTTTCCGAGGGTATGCCCCGGAATCGGTAGTTGAAGGGGTCTACTACAGGGGCCTAAACAATTGCCTATACTCTTTCGGGGGTTCCTAATATACTATGAAGGGCCCCAGAACCCTATTCTACTTAGTACGGCCCCTAAATTAGGGTTGAGCATTTCGGACTTGGGCCTCGTGCAGCTCTATTCGCAGCACTTGCACTCCTCAACTCGGTTCGGGTGCACGGCTCTTGGGGCCTGAGTCAGTTTTAAGTCAGGGTCAATGACAGGAAGCCACATTCCAGATCCCGATGTCGAGAGTGTATACCTAAACCGCGACTGCTTTGCATAAGCCCCGAAGCTAAACCCGATCCCTGAAAGCGTAGCCTAAACTCTAAACCGTAAGCCTCAAGACTTGGGCCCACTGAAACATTGAAGCTTGCTATGGCCGTTTCCAGGAACCTCTTCGACCCCCTGGGCATTGAGGGTCCCTGCAGGCAACGAGGGGCGCATGAAAGTGTTGTCCCTGTGTCGGTAGACCGCAGCAGGCCACAGACACAGGAGGATCCTTTCATTTCTAGCCATTTTGGCTGGAGAGTTGAGGCTAAAGAGGGAACGCACATCTCGGTGGAACTCGACCCAACGGCAGCCATGACCAGCTCCATGCCAGCCAACTTCCTCTTCGACTGGAAGAACAGCCCGGCCTCCGTGAAGAATACGTTCATTCATGTAGACGATGGCGAGCTTGAGTGGGATCCCACGCGCCCACTCCGACGCACCTCAAGCTGCCCAGGTCTCCTTGAGGCCCCAGTCGAGGCCGAGGAGGAGAGTTCAGAAGCTTTCAGGCTCGAACCTGTGCTTCCGAAGGCAGGCTTCCCGTGGGAGGACTCTACGGATGTGGGGGAAAGATCGGCATCAAAGGACACAAAAGACTCGACACGGATGGAGGAGGTCACGATGTTTGAGCGGAACATGCTGCTTCACCAGCTCGGCAACTGCAAACCGTGCTCCTACTACTACTTCAAAGATGATGGTTGTCGAAACGGTGATAGCTGTGAGTTCTGCCACTTCTGCTCTCCGGCAGCCGTCAAGGAAAACAAGCGGCAGCTTAAGCGTGATGCACGCCGAGAGAGGAGGCAGGCGCACCTGGAAGCAGCGCGTGAGGCTGCCCAGGACAAGGCCCCCGACCTTCGGCGCGCGGGCAGCCGTGCAAGGACGGCTTCCCTTTCAAACGTGCGGTCATAAGATCCAGAGATGATGGAGTGTGAGCCTGAGCCCAGCAATCTGACACGTGTACCCTCCGTTAGCTACCACTGCTGCCACTGTGCGGCAGGTGTAGCGAGTTTTGGTGCTCCATCCTGCATTGAAGAGCCAGCAAGCATCTATTGCTAGTCCTGTTGCATCCTATTGCTTTTGTGGAGGGGTTCTGTCCACTTGAGAGTGGACTGCAACGAAAGCCGTCTGTTGGCGAGTTGTCTAGTTGGACCTTTCTATGCAGTGGGTAGGGCAGCCGGCGCCCACATGAAGTACATGCAGTCAGTGTCTTGCTTTCTCGCGATCAGCTGCCCGACTCTTCACTACGATGGCAATTTGGAGGAGGAATCCTTTGACAAAGTCTTTGCAGTGAAGCATGCAGAGCCATCTTCAGTTGTAGCATCGACAGAGCCCAAGCCCTTCTCCTTCTTGCCGGTGACTGGAGTTAGGTCTTGACATCGACTTTCGATGTTGTGCTGTAGAGGTTCGCCTCGCAGTGCGCGCCAGGATGGCTTTGAATTTGACCCTTGTTACAACATCCGCGCGGAGATGCAAGTGCCTGTTATGCTGTTGAGGAATGGAGAATTAGATTGAAAGCTACTGATTACGGGGAAGTGTGTAGTTAGCGCGGGGGGCACCAGCGTCAGCGACCTGCATCTTCGCAGCTGATTG